ACGCTTTACAGCAGACGCTTTACAGCAGACGCTGCGCCAATCCGCCTGTCGATCTCCCGCTCCGTTCTTCCCCCATTCGTGAACAAGATCCCCAGATACTTAAACTCCTTCACTTGAGACAGGGCGACCCCCCTGACCCGGAGAAGGCACTCTGATAATCTGAGATCTGATAATAATTAAATTCATTTGTTCCTTTTTATTCCCTCAGAGTACAAATGCAGCCGTTAGACTTTCTAATATTGTTCCAACATTTAGGATTTCTGCTCGACTTTCCTGATTCTGAGACTCAAATCTGGACTTTCCTTCAGTTTTTATTCATCCTAAAGATGTGAGATCTGTGATCTTGTGTCTTATCTGCTGTCTCCCTCTTGTGTCCGTTTCATGTCCCTGCTCTTTCACCTCAGTCCTCCTCCCCCGTCTGTTGTTGTTGTTGTTGTTGTTGTTGTTGTTGTTGTTGTTGTTGGTAGCAAGTTATTTAACCAACAGGAAACAGTTTGTACAAATCAATGGTGTACGATCTGAACTTTGTAATATTGTATGTGGGGTTCCACAAGGTTCTATATTGAGACCAAAGTTGTTTCTCCTTTATATTAATGACTTGGTAAATGTATCACGGTTGTTTAAATGTGTTTTATTTGCTGATGACGCTACATTTTTTTGCTTGCGGGTAAAAACACAGAACAGATGATGGAAATGGAATTTGTAAAAGTACAGAATTGGTTTAAACATAATAAATTAGCATTAAATTTAGATAAAACAAATTGCATGATATTTATTAATAGAAAGAAAAGAACTGATGTTCTATTTAGAGTAGAAGGTGTTGAGATCTGTAGAGTCAATGAGGTGAAGTTTTTGGGTGTCATCGTTGATGAAAAACTGACGTGGAGACCTCATAAAGAACAAAAATGGCAAAATCTATTGCAGTTCTGTATAAAGTTAAGGAGTTATTTAATGATAAAGCACTATTTATACTATATAATGCAATAATTGTTCCACATTTGATTTATTGTATAGAAGTCTGAGGTAATGCATGTAAAACCATTGCTAATCCTATTTTTATTTTACAAAAAAGAGCCATAAGAATTATCACAAGAAAACATTATTATCACCCTTCAAATGTATTGTTTCATCAATTAAAATTGTTAAAATTTCATGAGTTGGTTGATTATAACACTCTGCAGGTTATGTATAAGGCTCATAAAAATGTGTTGCCTTCAAACCTCAAATCACATTTTGTTAAGAGGGAAAGCTGCTATAATTTGAAGGGATTACAAATGTTTGTTAAACCGAAAATCAGAACAAATTTGAAGGACAGATGCACTTCAGTAAAATGTATAAGACCATGGAATGATCTAGAAAATGATTATAAAAGCATTGGATCAATTAATTCTTTTGAGAAAACGATCAAAGAAAAATTGTTAAAGAATTATGAAATATTTTAATTTGTATTAGTTACTGTTTGAGGAGTTGAATTTTTTGTTTTGTTTTATATTTTGGTTTATCATTGTTTGAAATATTTTTTTAAAAGGAGCAGACATAAGA